TTTCAACATGATCAATATAAAGAATTCAGAAATTGGTATTTTAAAGCTTTTGACCAAAATCAATTACAGCTTTTTAAAAATCAATTTTATGACTTTCTACAAGAACGCAAAATGGTTATATCTTTTGTTTCTTGGTTTTATATGACAAATCATTCTCTTATTAATATAAACATATTGGATGATTTTCTCAAACCATGGGCTACATCTGAAGATAAGGTTTATCACTCTGTCCATCCTCCCACTGAACATTTAATTCTGAAAAGAATTGACCCTGACAGTGGTGTAAAAGTGGAAACCAAGGCTTATAGCCAACCTAAAATAATTGATCAGTCCTGTAATGCTACTAAAAAAGACATTTCTCATGTTTACAGGCAGAACAATTATACTAATGTTTGTCTACAAACGATAGGGTCTCAGCTTGGGAGAATTGAAATAGGAATAGACACGAAATTAAATACAATTAATACTAAGTGTATTACTGTTAAGCCTTCTCCTCCAGAAGCTTCCTTATCCAAAGCATTGGTCAAACCTGCAATTGAAGTTAAAGGCTTCAATCTTACACATCCTAAGAAGAATGAAGAATTTCTTACTCTTCTTACTCAGAAAATTCAAGGACTTAAAATTCAGACTTTATCCCATGATGAATCTGATATAGGTTCTGATTCTGAGGTGTTACCTCATATTGAGGCTTTTCAAACTGATTTCACTCAGCTACCTGAGTTGAAATCAGTAAGTTCCCCATGGCTCATGTCCTCTGTAATTTGTTTAAAAGCTGATACAGTCATGAATCGTTGAGCACGAAGATGCTTATTGGTGTTCTCGTTCTGGGTTCTGTGATTTTTCTTGTTTTTTAGATACTTGATCTGGCCTTATAGTATAGTCTTTTTGAGTCGCTTATTTCCGCTGAAGTGAATGATAATGAACTATCCGAAAGTTTTTGAAGAAAAGGAATATCATGGAAGCGCACTTTTTCATCTAGTGTTTATATAATTATATAGTTTTTATACACATACAGAAATTAATTATAATTGTAATTATATAATAAATATAGGAATTATTTAAGGAATAAGAAAGCATGTGACAACTGTAGTTGACTAATAATTAATTTGTTTCCTTGAATAGTTTCACATGGTGAGATTCTCCATGATCTTTGGTGAACTCTAGCTTGGCACGTAGAGAAGAAAACCAAAATTGTGGAAGGGCATATTTAATATATTTTCAAATATCACAAATTACCAAATTAGAAAAAAAAAAAAAAACATTTTAATATATAATATTTAATTATATAAAAGGAAAGGTGATTTGAGGAGGACATATTTAATCTTAAAATGTTTAAAAAAAGAAAAATAATTTATGCACCGTAATTAGACCTATTCTTTTAATTAGTCAATTATATAATAAATAAAAAAATAAAACCCTCCACTTAATTATATTTGGTATAAATAGCCAATTAAAAATTATTTTTCGATTAGACAATTCACTACAAGTGTTCAGTGTGAGTATCTCTACTCTTTGAAAAATTATTAAAATTATTTGCCACACACAGATAAACGTAATTTTTTACCATCCTATTTCCCCTAAAACCAAATCCATTCGATCTTGTGTCTAGATTTTAATTTTCCAATGTATGTTCTCCCATAGTGTGTTTACATTTTAATTTTTCAATATCTGTTTCTTGCTTGTATAAAATTTGTAATTTTAATACTAAAAGAATTTACTCTCTGATAGTCTCATGTACTTTATTAGCCTCTCTTATCTATCAATGTTTCTATGTGTTCATTTTCTAGATTTTTTAATTGTAATACTAATTTTTTTTATTATTATTAATCATGCAGGTTCATGTAACACGAAGAAATTATACAGACAGAGATAATTGCAAGAGTGATATCACCTTGTGAAGCTTCGCAAAGAAAACACGATACTCATTTTACAATCACAATGGTACAATGATACACTATATAAAGATTCAAGTTATATTAATAATTCACGGTAAGTAGCTGATGAGGATAAAAATAATAGGCAACTCAAAGTCAAAATAAGATAAGGGTAAGGGATTTAACCTCCCCAAAATCTCTATGGAATTATAAAAAATCTTTGGTTACCATGTGTAACGACAGTTACCATTTCTGTAAGAAGGAAACGATATCATCTTGGATCAAGGAGAATATCGCTTCAACAATTACTACCATCAATGCTTCTATAAAAGAAATGATTAGTTAACCTAAAAAGGTACGCCATAAATTTTATATATAATCCTTATCGGATATTAGATCGTCAAGTACTAACTTGACCGTCGGAGTGCACCCGGCCGGCACCACGCCAGTCATCACTTTTCTTGTTTTGCAGGAATCGCCACCGACTCCGAAACGTGTAGATTTTTGGCATCAACAGTTGGCGCCGTCTGTGGAAACGTGTATTAGTCCTAACAAATCATGGTTCGTACAAGGGAAATCTACGACAAAGCTTAAAAGCTATTCAGTCCCTTTACGTCTCTAAAAGAAAGAGAACAGTTCATGGATTGCATGGCCAAAAGCAATGGTACAATTGCTCAATCCGGTAAAATTGCTGGAAAGCCCCACCCGACCGCTGGCAGTTGTTTCATCATCGTTGTTAACCGGGTAAGTTTCATGCATTACGTGTATATCGAAATATATGTCTACATTTCCTCACACGATTTAAAGAGAAACAATTTTTTTTATGTGTTTCCAATTGTCTGCAAAATATTGTTCACCTAAATAATGATGTAGTTTACCTGGGGACCCTTCGATAGAATACTACGCTTTGTGGATCCATTGTAATTAGGATCCCTACAACGACTATATCCTATGAATCCTTTGTAATTAAGATCCCTACAATGACTATATCCTATGAGTAATATTAATCATATCAAATAAATAATTAAAATATTTCATTCACCAATAAATTCCAACAATTATAATTAAAGTGCCGGAAATTATATATAGGTGCAAGAAATTTTGTCAATTGATGAATTGCATATTTTTTAAGTTCTTAAAAAAAAAAAATAAATAAAAAAAAAATAAATTGCAAGTACTGTTCACATGAATAGTACCCGCGGGGATACCGTTCACAGGGTGGAAAAAAACTTTTTACTGTTCATTAGTACTGTTCCCTCGGGAATAGTGCCGGGGGCAAAAAAAAAAAAGAAAAAAAAGAGAAAAAAAAAAAGAAAGAAAGTGACTGCAGTTCTGACATAGAAACTTTGCAAAGGGCCTTAGCAAAAGCCACTATTACCTAACTGTTTAACCTTTGGCTATGTTATTGGAACTGTTTAACCTTTGGCTTGTTTGTGGGAGTAGTCATAAAATTAAAAAAAAAAAAAAACAGGATTACACTTTCATATTTTAGAGAAGAATTGATAGCTCAATGGATGATTTTAGTCCTATGATGCTCAATGATAAGTTTTTGCCTTAATTGTACCAATTCTGATATATATATATAACCTTGCAAATAGAAAGAGAACATTAATGTTCCTTGCGTGCGAGAGGCAAGCTTGGGAATGGAGGCAGAAAATTAACCTCTCTTATTAAAGGTACGAGCTCACGAAATATCAAATAGATAAGCTCACGCAACTATAGAAAATTAGTCTCTCTTATTAAAAAGATGAGGTGACTAAACTCATGCGGATGAACCTCCCATATTAAAAGGATAAGTTCATGAAGCTCATAATTGCCATTCCCCGTATTACAAGGGATTGATATAAAGTGCCTCGTACTATAAGAGCCCGAGCTGAATGAAGCTCATAATTGTTGTCCTCCGTATTAAAAGGGGTCGAAATCAACTTGTAAAATATACTTCCCTTTTTAAAGGGCGAGCTGAATGAAGCTCGTAAAATATATTTTCCTTTTTAAAGGGCGAGTTGAATGAAATTCGTAATTGCCATTCCACATATTATAAGGGATTGATATAAAAGTGCCCCGTATTATAAGGGCCTGAGCTGAATGAAACTCGTAATTGTTGTCCTCCGTATTAAAAGGGTCGAAATCAACTTGTAAAATATACTTCCCTTTTTAAAAGGCGAGCTGAGTGAAGCTCGTAAAATATATTTTCCTTTTTAAAGAGCGAGCTGAGTAAAGCTCGTAAATATACTTCCCTTTTTAAAAGGTAAGCTCATTCAGCTTAAGAAAGCCTACTCCCTCAGCTCATGAAGTTCAGGCAAATCTGTTTCCTTATTAAAGGAGTAAGAGAGGTCAACCAAAAAGAGGTCGCCCAACAAGAGTTAACCTAAAAGAGAATGATTTTTGCCAAAGAGATGTTGGTCAAAAAACACTTTCACATTCTTTATCCTCCCCAAAATCTCTATGGAATTATAAAAAATCTTTAGTTACCATGTGTAACGATAGTTACCATTCCTGTAAGAAGGAAACGATATCATCTTGGATCAGGGAGAATCTCGCTTCAACAACTACTACCATCAATGCTTCTATAAAAGAAATGATCAGTCAACCTAAAAAGGTACGCCATAAATTTTATATATAATCCTTATCGGATATTAGATCGTCAAGTACTAACTTGACCGTCGGAGTGCACCCAGCCGGCACCACGCCGGTCATCGCTTCTCTTGTTTTGCAGGAATCGCCACCGACTCCGGAATGTGTAAATTTTTGACATCAATAGTAGCAATTATTATGAAAATCTTATTAAATCATTGTAATATTTTATTTTATTTTAAATCATTATAGTGTTTTATTTTTAATTAGAGAAGAAAATATATAGATATAGATAAATCTAATTAGAGAAAAAAACATATAATATTAAAAAATTAAACTACTAAAATTCAATCAAAGAAAATTTAATTCAATAAGAAAATTTAAAATATTAAAAAAATTATTTATTTAATTCAATAAAAAAAATATAATTAGAGAATAAAATACTAATAATAATATAATAGTAGGAAATATTAAAATTTAATAAATAAAAATCTAATTAGAAAAGAAAATATAAGTATTATATGATTTATTTAATAATATAGCATTAGAAAATACTAATAATAATAAAATCCTCGATTTATACAAATCCAAATACATCCAAATACACCAGGATCATAAAAATATGCCCTCTTTTATACAAAGTCAATTTTCTCAGATATACATAAAAATTCTCTAAATAAATAAAATAAATCCTGCAACGCCGACTCTTCACCCTAAGCCCGTATCTAGCAATCCCAGTTCATTTTCGGTACCTGAAATTGGAGGGTAGTGAGACAAAAAGTCCCAATAGAAAAAACCATAACAAGAATTTCATGAAGGTTTAATATAACAGTTTCACAAAATAAACATATTCAGGTGAATATATAAAAAAATATATATGCATTTAATAAAAATTTCTAATAAAAATCATTGAAGCAAAACCACTCCAAACTATTTAAGCTATAGAAAACCCTTTACTGAAAAATAATTTTCCTCACTAAATCGTCAAAGTCTCAAACCTTCGGCCTCTTCTGCAAGCTCTCGGCTTCTCTATGTGCACACACTATCTCTGTCCTCAAACTCACTCTCATTTTTCTCTTCTCTGCCTTAACTTTATTTACTGGCTTAAACACAACACACATTTAAATAGCCAATTCCACGGACCTACAACTCACAACAGCCCGCGTAAAGCCAAGACTTTCGGTAACAAATGGGACCCGTCATCACCACCTTTACTTTTCTTTCTCTTATCTTCATCTTTTCACTTCTTTTTTTTTTATTTTTTTTTTCCTGGCAAACAAAAGAAACCACATATATTACTTAAAACCAACAGTACAAGCAGCCACACAAAACAAGTAACCCATGCATTAGGCTCAGGCATTCATGTGTTATAACAAAAAGGCCCAATAGAGACAGAAAGCCCACACAACTAGTAACAATACTTAGAGCGAATGTCCAACAAAAGAAGCCTATGTGAGATAAAGCCTAAGAACTAGAAGCGTCGCATAGGCTCAGCTCCGCACCAGCGTGGTCCTTACACCAAAGAAACACCGTCAGCATGACGCAAGAGGAATCCATCATCACCGGAAAACGCCGTAATGGAAGGACACTGAGAAATCGATTCTCCGTCCCCGATGACCAAGACGGCAACGAGAAAGAAATATCCATCAAAGGGATTTAAAAAGTAAAGGCATGGCTATAAGAAATCCAGTGAATAACCCATGTTTCCGTGAAGGAATTATTTAGATGGCTACCAAAAGTGAAAGCACCATAGCTAAGAACAACCAGAACAGAGGCCGGTAAGCGCCATAACAGATGACGCAGAAACATCGCCGACGTAAGAAGGAGGAGTGTCGGCTTCCAGATGAGCCCAAAAAAAGGGGGGTGAGGGGCTAGGTAACACCAACGACCCCAAGACGGCAACGACAAAGACAGCGGCAATGAAACTTCATCCACATAAACAACCACCGCCCCAAAACAACACCGCTGATGAAGTCGATGACCGAAAAACTCTGTCACCAACCACAAGCCGTCCCATCTAAACGAAAAACAAGCAAAGGACCCTGAACATAACAACCACCAAGAAACTAATTACAGAAAGCAGGAAAACAAAAGAAAGAGGAACAATACCCGGATTAAAAGAGAAGCATATCAAAGATTCTATCACAGTCCATCCGTTGTGCGAAAGGCCGGCCCAATGTTAATCCCCACAACTCCCTTATCCCCGGCCGGCCAGCCACACCAGAAGATGGACAGGGAGGATGTAATACCCCGATAATTTAAAAGATTTATTAATTGGGATTAATGAATTTTATTTTATTTTTAAATGATTTATTTTATTTAATTGAGTGTTTAGATTAATTGTCTCATTTTAGTTAGATTTTATTTTGTGATTATATATTTATTGAATTGATATGATGATTGATGTGTGTGTATTTAATTATTGATTGAATTGTGGCGTATTGATATGATGTGACTTAGTTGTAAATTCTTATTTGTTTATGTGTTTTATGTAATTAGTATTTTAATTTAAGTATTTATTTAATTATTTTATTTATTTAGATTAATTGGTTTGGGCTTAAGGAATGTTGGACCAAAGGATATGGTCTTGGGCTTGGATGAAGCCTTGATGGGTTAATTAATAAAGGCCAATGGGTATTTGATTATTTAAATAATCATTTTTATTGATTTAATTATATATAAATATAATTAATTGATAAGTGTTACAGAAGGATATAGGTTTATGGATATATATATATATATATATATATATATAGGATTTAGGATTTAATTAACCGATGGTTAATTATGGGAGATATATATATGCATAAGTAATATAATATATGTTTATATATATATATATTATATTATTTAAATAATATTAGTTTATTATTTTATTTTGTAATCCTACTAGGAATAGGATTTAGGGTTTAATGTGTATAAATATACACATAAGGTTTAGGGTTAAGAAGTTTTCACGTTAGAAAAATAAAAGAGACAAAGAGGGAAGAAGAAGAGAGAACGGACAAGGAGTAGGCCGGATCTGAGAAAGCAGATACCGGAATTGGAAGAGACAATCAAAGGTTAAAGCTTCGATTTCGTTTCGAAATCTTCAGGCAAGCTGTCTCTAACTCTTCTCTTAGGACCCATAAATTTATCACCTTGGGTGCCAGAATTTAGTTTAAAATCATTAATTAAATCATGTTAGATCGAAATAAAAAAAAAAACATAAATTATTATATTTAATTTGTGGATTCGTTGGATTTTAATTATGTATATAGGTGTGCATATTGTTTAAAATTAAGTATAGGTTTGATTTGTGAACCAAGAGGGTTAATTATAATTTCTGGAATTTTTCTAGGATTTCTGGAAATTTTTCTATATTTTTCTGGATTTTATTTATATTTTTCTGATATTTTAGAAATTATATATATAATTATTTATGTGTATTATTATATATATATATACACTGGAGGCGGCATCTGTAGAATCGGCGCCTCAAAAGAGGGTGTGATCCAGTGCGGCGCGGTACAAAGAACTATGGTGTGTCGCGGATCTGACCCTTGGATGCGGTTTAATCATAGGGAGAGGGATCTAGTGTGATGCGGTATAAAGAACTTCAGTGCGCCTCAAATAAAGACCATGGGATGGTCATGATGACCAGCGAATAATCTAGTGTTAGCGTATACATGGGAAAGGTTGCAATCGCTGATCTGGGCTGTTGATTAAAGTAGATGGGTGTGGGATGATTCAGTGTGGTACGGTTCATAGGAACATGGTACACATGCGGATCTGGCGGTTAGATTTAGCTGAAGAAGGGCGGCCGATCCTGTGTATCGCGCTGCATAAAGAAGAATGCATCCAGCGAATGCAGGTGTGCCACATCAGTCAGAGAGAAGTAAGAGGCGCGTGGGAGCGCGTGAAGAAAGCTGCCAGCTAGTGGTTGCGCGTGGAAGCGCGTGGGATGTGTTTAGGAGCTTGTGGTGGCGCGTGGGGGCGCGTGAGATACTCTTTAGGGTTCCATTAAGGTCCTGTGAGGTCCGGTGAATTTTTAGAATTTGTTTTAAGCTTATTGGGGTTGAAAACAACCACTAGAAGATGTGTCTTGGTATTCTGAAAACTATAGAGTGTTACTACGAGGATTAGTAACATTTCTTTTGAGTAAATATAATAATTTATTATATTGTTATGGAAGGATGTGTATATATATATATATATATATAAATATATATATATTTATCTATATGTGTGTATAAAAGGGATTTTATTAAGTTATGATTAGTAAGGAAGGAAGTATGTATATATATATATATATATATATATATATATATATAGGATTTAAATAACCAAGGGTTATTAGGGAAAGATTATACACATATATATTATATTAATTATGTGTATATATATGTATGTGAATTAAGATTATTAGTATTATTCTTTCTTATTTGATATATTTGGATAGACTGGTTATTAAATTAGGTATGTGCTTATAATCAGTAGGGGATATCTATGTATAAATTAGTTATTGTTAAACTTACAATTTGTACATGGATGAGTTGCCATAGGCGTAATTATATTGCCTAGGTATTTGTATGAATAAAAATATGTACATCGGAAGCATGGATGAGTTGCTAGGTTATTAGTATAAATATATATACTTAGAGGAGGCATGGTTGAATTGCCACATGTATAAATAAATATATTTAAAAGAGGCATGGTTAAATTGCCAAAGGTATAAATAAATATACTTAAATGAGGCATGGTTGAATTGTCAATATATAAATAAATATATTTTTAATAGCATGGTTGATTTGCCAAAGTTCAATTATTGCTATGTGTTAGATGATTAAAATATATCATCTATGGTTACTGCATGTATAGGTTGGATTATGATTAATTAGATATTCTTAAATTAGAATAGTCTAATATTTTCAGGATAGTATATTATTTTATACATGTTAACAAAATATTACTGGTGGTGACATAGATGATTTGTCAAAGCCTAGTTGTGTGATTTAAATACTTATAAATGATGGTTTTGGTCTAGGGATGATTAAGAATTAATCGTTGGTGAATGGTTTAATCAAATTAGTGAACCTATTAATTGATAGGATTACTGTTTTATATAAAAGTTTTTATATATATTTGTAACATCTTATATTAAAGGTTAAAACTTTAATTAGGATGATGTTGGTTAGAGATTCTTTATTTATTGGTTTTTAGAGGCTTGGTAGAGGGAACTTGCTCGTGGGTCTAACCCACGATTTATTTTTCAGGTTATTAGAAGTTCCAGTCTCGAGGTTGAGGATCCGCAGCTGGGAGACTGTCATTCATCTACTCATCTTGTTTACCTTTAATTAGTATAGTTAATTATTGTTAAATGTTTTGTATAAACTGGTGGTTTATAAGATTTTGGTTTAGGGGTCCTTAACTTATGGGATTCCCGAGTTGTATAATATATTCAGAATTTGAAACTCATGGAAATATTTTTGTAAAAGAGATTTAATTTTATTAATAGAATTCCATTCAGCGATTTAATCATCTTTTTTTATTCCTCTTGTATTCTGTGTTCGTTTAAGTACTATATTGTTTTGATATTCTCGCATTTTCGGGTGTGGGCCTGGCCAGCCTACACGTGGAAATGTGGGGGTATCACAGTTGGTATCAGAGCACTCCAGGTTCAAGTATCCCTAGGGTGTTTTTCGTTGCGTGACTTCCGCGTTGTGTACTCTTTTACGTAGAGCTTAAGTTTAGGATTCATTGTATTCTATATTCGGTCCGTTAGTGAATCCTAAAGATAAATCGTTTAGTCTTGTCAATAAATGGTAGGACATCGATTTGGAAGGTATTTGAGGAGGCAAGAGCGTAGGTGCCCGGATTGTATGCTAAATTAGTATGTAGGGAGACAATCGTTTATTGTAAAAACTGAGCAATGACATAGACTACGAATGTCGATAGTTTATGTTCACATAGTAAACATAAATGTGAGATAGAGTAGATAATTGAATATTGTGGGAAGTTATTACTTTTACAATCAGGATTGTTCAGGGAGGATGCATGTCATTGCACAATTGGTTTTTAAGTTCTGTTTTGAGGATTGGAGTGTTCCAAGGTTATTTAAATCAAATTAGGTAATTTAAATGGTTGAAATAGACTGGTTAAAATCTCAGAATGCATAATATACATTAATATGCTAAGGACTTGAACAATATGGAATTTTAATTAACTTATGTGTTGTGAATGAATGATTTAGTTGCTTAATATTATTCTAGCAATTTCATTGTATATTTATGTGATTTTAATCATGTATTAGCATATAATATAATTATATATTTATCGGATTTTTATTATAATTACTTCTGGATTATTTGAAGTATAAATATATATATTGCAAGAATTATGGGTTTTATGTATTATGCACCATTAAAATAATATGAAGGTATTTTAGGGATGGATTAACGGAAAAGTTAAGTCCTACCTATTTATTTATTAATTGTATGGTTTAATGCACCGGTATGGGACGGTGGCATTCTAGGGACGGATTAACCAAAGAAGTTAAGTCCTACCTATATATTTATATGGGAACGGATTAACCATAGAGTTAAGTCCTACTTATTCGTGTCAGGTCAACGGAATAGTTGGATGGCACTAGGGACGGATTAACTAAAGAAGTTAAGTCCTACCTATATATTTATAAGGGAACGGATTAACCATAGAGTTAAGTCCTACTTATTCGTGTTAGGTCAACGGAATAGTTAGATGGCATGCCATTGAAATAATATGGTTGGATAGTTTACTTTTATACTTGGATATAATAAATTTTATATATGTATAGATATGTGCCACGATATGAGCTTGAGTCTCAGGATCAGTGGATAGGATGGAGGCATATATTGCCGATTGAGACGGGTAGCTGGATTTATGGATGTGTAGGCCCTGGTAGGAGGAGGACTCGTGACCACCTTTAGGTGCGTTTTGAATGAGATACCCACTATCCGGATGAGACTATTTTGGTCTAGTGAGAGTCTCTAGTGTGTACTTATATTTATCAATTATATAAATATATGTGGAATTAACTAATTAGAGATATACAAATATTAAGGTATGTAGACTATAAGGTAAGGCGTATCATAATATAGAATGTTCAGATCGAAGACAAGAATGATAGTGGCAATAGCCATCATTACTTCTAAAGTATCTGGTATGTTCGTTATTAGGTGTGATCAATAGAGATCATTAGTGTTGTGCAGTCACTTTCCATA